ATGAAATATATATTGGTAGAAAGTACAAATTCGATCGCAGAAACAGTTATACGATGCTAGAATTTCGTGTAGGGATTAATAAAAACGATATATCCGAAGAAATACAGTTCACTCTGAAAGGCAACTTGATAAACAATTTGCAGTCAGTCGAAATTGAAATCATACCAGGTCAAATAAATAACAATGTGGAAATGTATTCAGGCCGGATCAGGCCTTGATCTCGCCCCATGTAGACGAGCCAAGCAATTGTTTGCCATAATTTCGTTGCACAAAGATCGCGGTGATCAGCAAACAGAACAGGATTATCCACAGGGCAAAACCGATAAAAAACCAGATCACGCGCATTTGCCACACAATCCACTTCCACCAGAAAGGATACCAAGCAGGGGTGGTGATCACGCGGTGGGCCACATCCGGTCGGAGTAGCTGATTCGCGATTCGGACCAAACTTCCGTTGTTCGGTTGGGATGAGAGACTGAGTAGACCGGACATCAGGGCGTAGATATCCATGGCCTGAATCTGTGGCACGGTATGATTGACCAGGAACGATGGGCCGCGAGCAATGAAGAACGCGTTCATATCGGTCACATTCATTGGGTAACCGTGATTGCCCACTAGAATAAATCGAACAAGACAAAATATTCTTTATTCTCCAGCTGGGAATTCGGTTTTATGCTATCAATGTGATTAGGCTACAACATTTCACACTATACATCTGGTCATCTGGCTTAGCATATGGTCGTTTTTCGGCACCATTTCATCCCTTCCGGAGATTGTTCGAAAGAGCTGATCCATGTTCCCATTCAACAACAACAACAACAACAACAACAACAACAACAACAACAACAACAACAACAATGGATCTACGGAATAACTTTTTTTGAGTAAAATTTCATCTTAAGAGTAGCGAATTTAGAATATTCGCATTTAACTCTCAGATACTTGTGAGTAGTGGTATGGGATGATTGATGTTGATTGATTTGACTAACAATCCTTCGGACTTCACCTTCACACACCATCCTCAGTTCATCCAGTCAACCATACAGTCAGAAGCACGAGACTGGAGTTTCGCTCTTATTAGATATGATCACTAGTGCACGTCCACCGTCCCAACATCTGGGATTTGAACTCCGGACCCATTGCATGGAAGACTTGTGCGTAACCAATGTGCCGACCAGCTCATACCGTGACTGGAACAAATTGCCAATTCATGTTTGTTCAGGTGTTGTCTTCAGTGAGTCAGTCAATTCATTTGGCCCGACAGCAAAGAAGTGAGACACCGATGACCACCTGTTAACTCCAATCGAAAGCCTCCAACCAAATCAGGATTTCCATGCAGCTTACCGACTGACTTGCCACATAACTGTGATTCAAATGCAAATATATATACATATAGATATATAAACATACATATGTGCATACATATGTATATATACATATGTATATATTTATATTCATATATATGTCAAAGTTCAAAGTTTTATTATGGGCAATTTAACAAGGCTTATGCTTACCATGATCCATAGGATTTTTACAGAATGTTTCGGACAACTTTATAATTAGAAAATAATAAAACCATGTGAAAATGTTAAGTGTTCCAATGTTCTAATAATATGCGGTTCGAATAATTCAACTATGGAAGGGGGCACACGCAAAACCTGAGGTGGAAGAGATTTCCATCAGCACCTCACACTCTGACTGGAAACGAGTGATGCCGGCAATCTTGGTAACTGTTTTGGGGTCTTCGAATTCAAAGGATATTCCCTAAGATGATTATTTTGGGATAAATTCAACACTGAACGGTAAGGGTCGTTGGGTTGGTGCTGTAAGTAGGACTTCGAGATTAGGTCTCCCCCGAAGTCGACGGTACTGGGACGAGTAAAGCCTCAATAATTACAGTCTTTCGGAGTATGTCTTCTTACGCATACCTGTTACCATTTTTGTTGCCTTCAAGTCACGGTTGAACCATGGATTCCATACTTCATCGGCGTATTCCGTCTGTGGCCGATTGAACGCTAATAGCAAGTGTGGAAATAGTGCTATTTCGATCTGCTCAAAGGCACGTCTAAGTAATCCAATTCATGCATGATGCTCTGGCACACTGTGGACAAACATCCTACGTACTTCTTCACCTTAACTCTCAAATCATTTCCATTCGTGACATGCCCCAGAAAATAGCAGAAACGGGTTTTGTACCGTATGAGAAGAATTTTGCATTTTGAAACGTTGAATTCAGTGTAACTGGCGATTGAACTTCGGTAGGCTGCATTAATTGTTTGCTGGAGTGCCAAACAATCCTCTGGATGTGTTACTGCTCTCCATGTTTTAGCGTTGTTGATAAACAGTAGTGACTTGACCCAAGAACATGTTGTAAGTTGTTTATAAATCCAAGAAAAAACCTTGGACCCAGTCCGGATCCTTGTGGAACCCCTCGGTCAACGGTGATTGGTTCAGATAATGAATCACAAACATGAACTGACATGGTTCTTTGTAGAAGAAACTCTTTGATCCAATCCAAAACCAAACCACTTACTCTGTAATTTTAAATTTTTGCAGTAGAATTTGGTGGTTTACTCGCTCTAATGCTTTGGAGAAGTCAAAATGAACTACATCCAATGGCTCGCCTGTGTCGACGGATTTGTCCACTCAACTCATGCAAGAAGGAGATTTGTGGTGGTACACGAACATTTGTGCTGAAATCCGTGCTGAGCTGGAAAAAACAGGTACTCCATCGACACATCTGCGACAATAGTCTCTATGACTTTCGACAATATCGACTGAAGTGTGACCAGGCTGTAATTTGCGGGATAACTGCGAGAGCCCCACCTTGTCGAACATACTTTGGTAAAGAAAGGCCAGAATTTCGAATACGTCATTAGCTACTGAAATGAAAGTCCGAGGATGTAAATTATCCTCACCTAGGGATGAGTTACCACGCAAAGTTAGTAGTCTTGCTTTCACCACTCCACTTTCAAAAGCCATATGAACCGGTGATAGATACGGTATACAGTATAGTATGCTTGGAATTTGCAATGCGTATATATAGTTATATATATTTCACAGTTCCTTTCTACCAACCCGTGCATGAGACTTCAATATTCAAATATTTGCCGTCCTCATAAATTTCCATCAGAGATAAAGTTTATTAAACAGTTGGTGAACATCCCAAGCAGCGGAACGAACATGAGAAAATCAATCCATCCGCGCACATATACAAGGAGAACAGAACTGTCATATGTTTGTCAGAATTGTGACAAATACTTGCACACAATGATAGAATACTTCATCGTTTTATACCAGTTCAGTGTTTTCACGAGATTTCCCGTTTTTTTTTCTGCAGGAAAATTCGACGAGGTTTACGCGAAACTGCAAAACGCCCATCCCAATATGAAGGTGTATCGTGCAACAGAGCTTCCTTTGGAGTTGAATTTCAATCACAACTCTTCCCGAATGCCTCCGCTCATTGTGATTCCGGATGCCGGTTGGTGCCTGGTACACAACAAATCGTCACATTATGACCGTAAGTAAATTATGTTGGTGGTATTTTGGTTTTTTCACTAAGTCAACAGAGTCGTGAGTGTTGTATTTTTCTGGAGTCTGAAATCTTTTTTGGTTCAAAACGAGTTTCATTGATTGATTAGAACTGACCATCCTTTGGACTTCACCTTCACATACAATCCTCAGTTCATCCAGTCAACCGTACACTCGGAAGCACTAGACTCGAGTTTTACTCTTATTAGAGCTCATCATTAGTGCATATCTACCGTCCCATCCGGGATTTGAACTTCGGACCCGTCGCATGGAAAGCATGTGCGATACCACTGGGTCAACCTATTCATACCAGGGCTGAACCGAATTACCAATTCTTGTTTGTTCATCTTCGGTCTGGAACTTGATAGAATAGCAACACTTCACTGTACAAATTGGGACAAATGAAAAGTGCATTGTTATGTAATGTTCGTGTTTGTTTCATTGAGAATCTCAGTTCTGTTTTATCATTCTATTATAATTATAATTATTATTCCATTATGCCCTCAGAGACAGAGGATGATGGCGATGTGAGGAACCGTTAAACGGTTTATTTTGTCAGTAGCACAATCCAAGTGAGTCTTGTACAGTTCATTGTGCGAAAAAAAGAATAATGAGAGCCCAAGTCAATCAAATCACGGAATTTGCCCATTGATTAAGTACACAATATAGGCGAACACACCCAAAATACCAATGCGTCCCATTATCTCTATGACAAATTCACCTCAGCACGCAACTGCCTGTCGGTTAGCTAATCTTTTGAATCCCATATGTCAATGTGTCGCCAAGCATACACTTGGAGATTCTTTTCAGTTTATTGAAATAAACAAAAATGTGAACATTAACAACCGACTGATGTTCCCTTTAGATATTGTTTCTCTCTGTACAAATGTTTCCCTGTTAGAAACAGTTGATTTCATTTGTTAATTTATCAACACAGAAACGATATCCATGGGTATTTCTGTCACAAGTTTCAAAGAACCTATACCTAAATGCACAAAAAATGTACAGTTTTTGTTTAATAACACTTTCTACCACCAAGATAATGGTGTTGCAATGGGTTCACTTCTCGAACTTGTTCTCGCCGACATCTTCATGGCCAAGTTAGAGACAACTTCTTTATCTACGGCTATTAGTTGTTTTGAACAATATCACCGTTATTTAGACTGTGTTTTGTGTGGCTAACAAGAACACTGATCTTGCCCATGTTGAGTCAGAATTCAACACGGCACATTCGTCAATTAAGTTAACAACTGAATCAGAGGAGAACGATTGCCTTCCGTTTTTGAATGTTCATCTGACTAGACGCCTCTATCCAAAGAAAGATATATCGAAAAAACGTGAAGTGGGCAGTACACCAATTTTCATAGTTTCGTCCCACTCTATCAAAAACGTAATCTCATACGCTGTCTCCTGTAGAGATCAAGGTTCATCTGTTCAGAAGATACTTTAAAAGACGAACTTGAACTAGTGAGGAAAATGGCTATCCTGAGAAGTTTATCGACCGTAACTGGACTGAACAGAATAAGCCAATTAAAATGCCAAAAGGGGAGGAGAAAATGCTTTTTTTATAAAGCTTCCATTTAAGGGTGATTTCCGCAACTGAGGGGGTCAGTAGAGTTTTATCCTCAGCAGTGAAGTCTGCACTCAATGCCCCTCAGTTAAGAGGTGTGTTCTCTACGTCACCAAACATCCGATGCTACAACAAAGATAAACTGCCTACAATAATTTCATCTGTTTGTCTACCAATACAAGTGCACCTGTGGTGCGACTTATGTAGATCGAACAAGGCAGTTATCTCAACGGATCGAGGAACACAATCTACGCTGGGTGGGAGTGGAGCTGTGTCAATCTCGATCGTTGCTCATCTGATAGAGATGGGACACGGCTGACATGCGCTCTGCATTTACAACCATTTATCGAGTCCCACCACACCCCTCGAGAGCAATACGGTTTTGGATGTTGGCAACCGCAGAGACGATTAGCATCCGACTCATGAAGCCTGAGCTGTGCGCACAATGCAAATTGATTCAAGCTCTCAAATTCCCCTGGTTAGGGGAAGAGAGAATCGTTTGTTCACACGACCATGACGTAACGACTTTGGTTATGTGATCCAAACAGCGCACACATTTGGAGTTTTCTTGGGCTCATTGCCAAACAAACACATGACTTAGGTCAAAGGGTCATGGGTTAATTGACGTTGGGTGTCGGGTCTGGGCCGGGGTAACTGTAGGGCTTTGACTGTAGGGCTGTGACCTCTCGCTTCCTGTTTCATCCCTCTTCCCCCTCCCTCTCCTTTCTCTGTTTTCACGATTCCCCATTCTAAAACCACGGATCAACAATTTTTTTAGTTTTGGTTTTTGGTTTTCACCTCTTTCCCAACCACTTCTCACCACTCCCTTGCCGTCCAATCAACGCATTTTCGTTCTGACATTATTTTTTGCTACTCGTGTTGTTCTGTCAATGTCACAATGGGAATTTTCAGTGAAACACATGACTCATCCACCTTTCTGTTTGACCGTATTGAAATTGTTTCATATGAATGTGATCGTAAAAGCTTGAAAAAAATTCACTGAAAACAATCAATCAGGATAATCACTCATAACTCTAGAAAATCGCCCATAAACATGATCATAATTACGAAACCCGAGCCAGTTGTTTGGCCACACTGCACTAACAAGCGATTAACACAGAATAAAGTGATATGAGAGGAAAATTAATTATCAATCACAAACTACCGTCTTCATCAGAAAACACATGACGTAGGAGAACATCTGTTTTTCTGTGAGTTCTTTCTCAAGGCAGTAGAATCACATTTCTGTGAGAAAATAGCGCGAAGGTGTTGTGTTGGGAGCAAACAGTCGAGGTTGAATAAGTATAACAAAGAGGGTGGAGTAGGAACACGTTTGTCTCTAGTTCTCCTGTTCAGATAAGAACGGGTTACGTAAGCGTTGGTAATTGATTTGGATCCTCAAAATGCCCATGTGTGATGTTAC